AATGACCCTCTCTCTCCATTTTGTTTCTCACGTTGTGACTTGGGCCACAAACAGCATTACTTGTACTTCCCTATGAAAACAGATTCTTTAGCTTCTGCTTATGTCATTTTCTTTCATTATCCAGAGTAAAGATCAGGAAGTTCTCTTCCCCAAGGTCCCCCATTCCGCAAAATCCACCCCAAGGCAGACCAATTTCTGTAAACAGATGCTTTGGACTATTAATTTCCCAGTTATCATAACCACCCAGCCTCTGAAACCCAGTTTAGGCTCAGCTAGAACCCGCACTACAATAACGATTAATGCACATCCTGATTTCTCATCCACTAGAGGTGTGCCTTCCAAATCAAAAGCAAGTATGAGACAGAGTAAAATGTGTACTATAAATTTATTCTGTGATATTTTCCTCACTGAAGATATTTTAAAAGATTAAAATACATCAATATTTCATGAAAAATAAACACTTAGAAGAATTTAGGTAATACCTGTAATATACATGATTTGACCCTGACTATCTACTTTTTTCATTTCAAACATCATTTTTTTGGAAAAGTAACAAAAATTATAAGGATTGCTGCATTCTTCATATATCCTCTGTCTCATAAATTTCAATTCAACTGTCAGTTCTTTTCTCAACTATATGTGTTAATAGTATTTGCTTCTGTTTTTGAATGGGATGAATATCCACTTTCTTTTTCTTAAAAGCGATACTTAGGTCTTCTTTCTTTGATTCTTCAAGAAAATGCTTCATGCTGAGTTTGAATAGTAATTGAGGGTCTGGTCCAGAAAGTGGTGGGCAATTACAGATCTCTCTAATTTTGAGAGCCTATAAAGAAAGAATACAATAAAATACAAAAAAGAATACAAAACAAATATACATATATAAATTTATTAAGATTATTCCAGTAATTCTTAATATGCTCTGTGCAAAACAATGAAATATAAGAATACATTCCGGGTTTTTTTTTTTTTTCGAATAAAAGGTATCTTAATTACAACACATAAAAGAGAACCATAGACAAATTCTTGGTTAATAGTTACATTTTCATGATTTGTTGACATAATAATACACTTGAAAAAAATAACTGTATCTGCAATGACAGCTCAATGTCCCATTAGGAATAAACAAGCCCTCTTGAGAGGTATCTCTTTGGTTTCAGCTGAACTCAAACTGACCCTAAGAACAACCTTGCAGAGATTTTTTTCAAGAAAAAGAAAACAATAGAATATAAATGTCTGAACATACTGAAAGATCTACATAACTGAGACCATCTGTAGTGGAACTGATGCTAATAACCTAGAAAAGTAAATCAAAATCGTGACAATTTTTAACTCCAAGAAAAAAAAATGCTGCAAAGAAAGGAAAAGTAATCACAGTGTACTACATGGCTCAGCTGTGACTAGTATTTACAGTTTTTAGAACACCGAATCTTGCTCTAACCCAAAATCACGGTTTAACCATACAGGGAAGGGGAAGAGCTGGATGCATGTGTGTGCGTGCACAGGGTATGACAGTGATAAGAGCTTAATTCTCATTCTCTATAGGGGAAAGTAAAAACAGTAACACCTAACTTAGGAAGAGGCAATATAAGCATGTTATACAGAAATAAGGGGAAATACCAAACAAATAATTTAAGAGAGTTGGAAATGGTTACCCTTGAAATCGAGGGCAGGGTAAGGGAACTGCTGCTTTACATTAACTAGCCTTAGAGAATGATGTGATTTTTAAAGTAGGTACATGGATGACTTTAAGACATAAAAGCTAAAATATTTTCTTTAGGAAAAAAGTCTTAATATCAAAAGAGTTTTAAAAGAGAAAGACATTTAGGGGAGAAAAAAAAACTAGTTTACTTTTGTACTACCTCTAACTTTTTGATAGTGATTCATGTTAAGAAAAGTAAATAAAGGGGCCAGTGTTTGGGGGAGTGGTAAAATTTTAGAAAGACTGATGCCCAGCAAGTTCTCACTGATAAAATGACTTTCGGGAATAGGAGTAGAAGACCTGAAGACGTGAGGAAAGACGTAATGTGGGTACCTAGAAGTAGAGCATTCCAACAAGCAGCAGCAAGTACAAGGACCTGAGATGGGAGTATGCCTAGAGTATTCTGGAATAGTGAGGAAGCCACTACATAACTGGGTAGGAGCCAGTTATGTAGGATCTCTTAGGACATCATAAGGATTTTAGGTTTTACTCTGAGTAGGCCTACCCCAGATAACTGTGGGGTCCCTGGCAAGAATGCAAATGGAGGCTCAGATAGTGTGTGTTTAAATATCTAAAAGCTGTAAGTAAAGCTAATAAACTACTGCATAAAATATGTTCTATTCTCCCACTCTGAGGAATACACATTCAAAATTACTCTGAAGGCTACGTACAAAATAAGAATTCTGCAATTTCGGAATGTCTAAGGTTGTGGGGAGACCAGCTCTTATCTCTGGCCTGCTGCAATATCATCAAGCACTAAGAAATGAGCTATCAAGCTATGAAAAGACAGGGAGGCGCCTTCAGTGGGAAAAAAAAAAAAAAAAAAGAAAGCAAATCTCAAGAGGCTACATAGTGTATGACTCCAACTACAAGGCACTGGAAAAGGCAAAACTATGGAGACAGTAAAAAGATCAGTGGTTGCCACAGGTTATGGGAGACAGGGAGATGAAGAGGCAGAGCATAGAGTATTTTTAGGGCAATGAAAACTACATGGTACTGTAATGGTGAATACATGTTATTATACATTTGTCAAAACCCATACACAAATGTACAACATAAGAGTGAACCCTAATCTAAACTATACTTCGGGTGATAATGATGGGTCAGTGTAGTTTCATCTACTGTAACAGATGTACCACTCTGGTGCAGTATTTTCATAGAGGGGGAGGCAGGAGGCATATGGAAAATCTCTGTAGCTTCCATTCAATTTTGCTGTGATACTAAAATTGCTCTTAAAAATAAAGTCTTTAAAAAAAAAATAAGCTGGCATGGTAAAAAGGCTTAGGAAAAAAGGAATTAGAATCTGCTTTTGTTGTTTTGTTTTTAATGCTTTTGCACTACATGCTTTTGTACTAATGTTTTTCTGTACCACATTTTACGATCCTCGCGTAAATCTTTTACAGAATAAATGTACTTTGAAGATGTCTGAGCTACATTAATTGCTATAAAAACTATGTATTCTTCACAAAGGCTTTCTATTAATATCTCTTCATGTGTGAACTGTTTCTCTCCTCGAACTATCATTCAAGCAGAATCCTGTTATGGACCAAATACATTTCTATCAAATCTTAATCTATTTTGCATAGTAAGATTTTATCAGACATGTTGGTAAAATATTTTTTAATTTACTTTCCTTTTAACATTTATTTTATTACATATCAAGGTGTCAACATCTTTTATTTTTATAAATTCAAATCTATCCCAATAAATATACCTTCATCTCTTTAAAAGTGAGCAACATTTTCTCACTGTACAGCTAGAATATGCCTTTCCATTTCTTTTACCTTGTTTTCTGTGCTTAATGCACTGCACGTAATAGGTGCTTAAATGTGTGCTGAATTTTAAACATTTATAGAACACAAGTTATGAATAAATCGTTATGACAAATGTCATAGGGAAAACACTCTTTAAAAGTGTATAGTCTAAGAGAATGCAGAGATGTACTCCAATAACAATATAAAGTTCTAAGATCCCAAAGACTTGAAGTTAAATATGGAATTAGGCAGCCTAAAGATCCCAACTAGAGTGAAAGGGACTAGCATTTACTGTTTACTTTCTATGTACCTTGCACTGTGCCAGGTATTTTACAAAATGTTACCTAAACTGATGCTATCATATGAATCACTTTTGAAATGTTGGTGTTGGTATAGAACACTTATCACTAAAGTGTCTCATAAGGGAGGGAGTGAAGGAAAGAGGGAAGGAGGCAGGACCTTACCAACACAAACACACAAGTACTACATAAAACACCCAGGAGAGCATGCTATCCTGATTTTACAGATGAAGAAAACTGAAGGTTAGGTTAGGTAACTTCCTCGAAGTTGGGTGGCTGGGTCAGAACTAAAACCCAAGACTCCTAAGACCACTACTATTTTTATACTACTTCCTAAGAGTATACTTTCCCATTACCAACTATTAATTTGCCACATGTTAAATTTCTATGAAGGAGCAGAACTGCTATTCAATTAGTTGCCCATTTTTCCTATTTTTAACCCTATAATACACTACTGATCTTTCCTATTTGTTACACATCATGCAATCACTTAACAAACATTGACTGTGCATTTCAGAAACTGTCACATGCACTAAGGATACAGCAGTGAACAGCAGCCTGACAATCTAGGAAGGAGACAATAAACAACTGAACAAAATAATTTAGTAAAGTAGATGAAGAAATTAAACTGTGAACTGTGGTAGCAGATAATAACTGCATGGAAGAGAGGCTATTTGAGATTGGGGGATCAGGGAAAGCCTTCCCAGGGAGGTGACATTTGGGTAAAGAGCTGAGGAAAGAACGTTCTGGGAAGAGAAATCAACAAGTAGAGAAGTTGTAAGAAGGAAACAAGCTCGAGGTGAAACCACTGGAATCAAAGGAAACCTGGGGGAGAGTGACATGTGAAAAAGCTGGAGAAGTAGGCAGTGGCCAAATTATATGATTTAAAGACTGGGTAAGAGTTTGGGGTTTTGTTCTAAATTAAATGAGAAGCCACTGAAAGGTTTTAAGTAGGAAAATGACATTAAAAAGGTTGCCTGGCTACTGTATTGAAAATGGACTGTTAGGGGTTAAAGTGAAAAATGGAACAGGAAGATTAAAATAGGCGATGACCGTACTGATGCAGGGAGAGATGATGGTGACTTTTATTAGGGTAGCAGCAGTGTTGATGGAAAAGGGAACAGATGCCTGATGCCTTGTGGTGGCAGTTGGCAAGATATTTCTGTGAGCAGGATATAGAGGAAAGGGAAAGGGAAGAATCAAAGATAAGTCCTAAATTTCCTCCTCTGTTTATTAAAACAGGGAGTGTTTTTTTTTTTATCATGCTACTCATGTATCTGAGGATAATTTAGTTGCTTATAATAGTTATTGTTAAATAATATTGCACTATCTGCTGGTTAATGACCCTAGTCTATAAATTCTTTTAAAGGTGTTGCTCTTACCAAATTGTCAAAATAAAATCATTTATGACCATAAAATAAATCAGATAATTAACATTGTCCCTTTTTATTTTTTAAAGCTAGAATTATTCTTTGAATAACTGTTCTTTGAACTTTTGGAAAAATTTGCCGAAGTAAATCGTCAGTGCTAGGTGCCCTTCTCTTTGCTAATCTGATATAACTCTTTGGGTTTCGAGTACAGTGCTATTATTTATTTAAATTATCCCTTACCTCTTTTTTCAAGTTAATTTGAGAAGGTTCATTCTAGTTATAGTTTCTACTTCTAGCTGCAGCTACTTTGGTAATTGTCACACACATGCTCACACTCATGCACACACTCTAATTACTTCTGATTTTGACCTGGGCTATTAACATCACCTAACTAAAAATATTCACCCAAATATTTTGGTTTTCTTATATGATAGTTATTGTAGCTTTTCTCCCAATCCTATTGACATTTTATTTTCTAACTGATCCAATGATTTTCTCTTTGACTAAATTTCCAAAAGAACCAACTATTATAATTTTGCTTATTTCTGCTTAGTTTCATTAACTGGATATTCACTGTCTGGGCACATTACATTTCTCTATTTCTTTTCTCTTTTTCTTTCTTACTAATATAGACATTTAACTTCACTTACATATAGGTTTGAAAGTAACCAATGAAAATATAACTATATCATTACAAAATTTCTTGATTTTAAGGCATGCTCTTAATTGTTGAAAGACTTCTCTCTTGCCTTATACATACACAATTTTATTTTAATTTCCATGTAGCCATATTTTAATTTTTGTTATATTAATTTTAATGTATTGTACCCTGACAATTTGAACCATAACATTTTATAAGTATACATGTTTTTGTCCAAGTTATATAACCAGTATTTTTATGAAAGATGTGCATTTGAAAAGAAAATAAACATCTTTTTTCTAGCAGTTAGTTTCTTCTTTCAGTTAAATATTTTTGTACTATTTATTCAATTCTTTATTAATTCCCTATTTAAACTGTGGTTTTCTAAGAATAGTAGGATGCAAGCTATAATTAAAATTATGTATAAACACTCTAAATATTTTATCTAATTCTTAATGACCAGTGGATTGTGAAAAGAGCACTGTTGCTACTGAGTCCTTCACTGACGTGTTGTTGTACGTGTTTCACTTATTAAGGGGTCTTCCGTCCTAAAAGAAAGAAAAGTTGGTTTGACTAGATGCCATACCAAAGTGTATTAGTGTATTCGTTCCATTGTTTTTGGTTTATTTGTTTTGTTTTGTTTCTTTCCACCTAAACTCTTACATGTCTCCAAAGCTTGAAAAGTAAGATCCAAAGTCATTCTCACTTTTACATTTTTAAATTTTCCCTTTATACTTTGGCATCTTCTAGGAACCTATCTCTACAATAAATATTAAACATTTGATAAATTTAAATATCTAGGTATCATCATTTCAGGGCTTTTCATGCATGATGCTCTGAGATTCTTCGAAAAACTCATCTTGAGAAATATTATCTAAATCAAAACTGTAGTATAGAAACCATAGTCACAGAAATGAAGACATGAATGAACTGGTCTTTACTGTTAACATGCAGCTCGGATTTCCTTGCATCTTTTCAATATTCTTCCATTTTTTAGACAGTCTTTTACCTTTGGGTATTTTAATTTGTGCTGTTTCTCTACCTCCAGCATCAGTGAGTCTTTGGGGCATCAATTCTGCTCTTTACAGCCTCCACTGAAAGTTGCACAGCTTCTGCTGTATTCACAAGTTTTGCAATTTTCTAAAATGAACGTATCTTATAAAGTCATTCTTTCTTCTGTCACCTTCAATGTAATTCATTTAGGCTTCCCATGTCAGCTTCAGATGGGGATGCCTTTGTGGTTCTCATCACCTAGGCTGTCCTCTCAAATGAAGTAAAACTTTCAAATCAGACCAGAGATCTGAGATGCGGTTTTGTTATTTAGATTTTCTACTCTTTGAAGCTTAGGTTACTGGAGGAAAATGGGCATTTCAGAGGCTTTGCTCTTTTGTTGTTATTGCTGTATTTAGTTTAGATGAGGATCCTTGTGGTGTTATTAGTTAAAGACAGACACTAAATAAGTCTTTTAAGTACAATTAACCAATGATCAACTTTTCTTTATTTTCAACTCTTATGCACTCATTGTTCTGATTTTTTAAAATTCTATCTTACCTACCTCTTAAACCTACTCTTTGAATAGGAGGAAAATGTGGCTGCAACATCTTTTATTACATTAGAACTGATTTGGCTGGTCTGAGTTCCTTCATCATCGTTCTACATAGATTCCTCCTGAAGACACACATTCAGGTTGACCTTTTGAGACAGAGGAGGAAGACAGTCGTAAAAACTTCTCAGGCAGCTGAAGAACTGGATATTTGCAGAGTGGAAAATCACTCCACGATAACTTGCTGGCCATAAGAGGGAAAACCACATTTCCGAAAGACAGGTTAGCTCATCGCCATCCAAATCCACTGATTGCACATGGTATCACTAAACATGGAGCAACCAGATTAAAAGAATCCTGAAGTGATGCGATACGAAGCATAGCTGCATCATTTAAAAAATATTCTTGCCAAAATTTAACTACCATTGATAGGCATACAGAGAAACAAGTTAGAGGAAAACTCAAAGAAGCAATCCGATAAATCTAGAATGTGGGACTAGATTTATTCAACAAGTCAATGACATGTATAAAAATAAACAAAACAAAGTGGTAGGGGCACTATTCCAATGTCAGAGACTTCAGGGACACAGCAACCAAATGCACTGTATGTGTTACTGATGGATCGTGATTTGAACAAACCAATTACTAAACTATATTTTAAGACAGAAAACTGAATATGGATAGCTATTTAATTTTATTAAGGGATTACTATTAATTTTCTTAGATATGATAATAGAAGAAAATGACACTACTTTCTAAACTGCATATTGAAGTAATCAGAAGAAAAAGCCCTCAAGTCTGGGATTTGCATTAAAATACTTCTGAGAAAAAAATAAGAGAAGGGAAAGAAGACGCCAAGTATACAAAAAGGTTGATACTACTGAATGTGAATGAAAGATGGGAGTTCATTAAATTATTCAAATTATTCTCTACCTTTACATGTGTTTTTAAAAATTTATAATAAAAAGTAAAACTAAAACAATTTTTCTTAAAAAAAATTTTTTTCTCATTTTAGCATTTCTGTGACCCTATCCTTGATTTTACATCTATACCTTTAGATAGCTCCAAATGGCTCATGAAAAGTTTAAATGTTCCTCCTAAAAAAATGAAACCAGTCCCTTTACACACCCCCTTCTATTTCCAACTCTTTTCCTTAATGTCTGAAGGCAAGCATTCACTTTTTCAAAAAGCCTATGAGTTTAACTTCAGTAATCTCAATCCTAGAACTCACTAGAAGCAGATTTAATAGAAATTAATGAGAATCTCATAGGTTATCACTTTAAGAGAAAGAAAAAAAATACAAAGATAATGACTATGTTGCTGCTTAAAAATAACAAAACAAAAACTTCTGTTTACATATTGGTCTGACAGGATGATTTAATCTGATATCTTTACTTGAAAGGCAAATGGATGACAACAGAAAATAAAAACAGAGAAAACTGTGAAAGGCTTTGATATGGGCAAAAATATCATTGGGCGCCTTGTCAAGTGTAGCCTTTCATGGCCTTACAGCTATTTTAAGTTGTAGAAAACTAGTAACAATGCCAACCATACTTGTCAATGGAAAAGGAAATGAATGAACTGTGCCTGGTGAAGTGGAACTGATTGTTGCCTTATGAATGGATTGCTTTTGCACCTATTTCAGCATTACTTATTGCCTATATATATATTTGTAGTTCTTAAATTCTCCTTTGACCTACTTGTAATATATTACTGGCTCCCTTGTTAATAAGTTAAATAAAATCTCAGATATGGTTTATTTTATATTTGTTGAAGTCATGATTTTTACCTTTTAAATTTCCTCTAATTCATTTCATTTCCTTTCAAAAACTGCAGTGGAAATTGAAGTCTGACTAGTTTATGAAGTAGTCTAAAGTAAGTACAAATAACTGAAATTTTTAAATACATAAATGTATTTATAAAATACATAAAAGTTAAAAATTAAGGCCATCTTCACATAGGTCAATTGTCCTCTGAAATGAAAATAGTAACGAAAACTTTTCAGATAAAATTGTATAACCAAGCACTCGTAACATATGTGAATGATGTATTAAGAAATGGCTACTTTTATTCCCAGTAACAACAAGTTTAGCAAACAACTACTGATACATATCAGGATTCTTTTAGGCACTACATATCGAGTAAAACTACAATTACTCAGAAAAACTTAAGTTTTAAAAAAGAAAAAGAAAACAGGAAAAAAATTAATGCCAGAGAAGCTCCATGATTAGATTAAAAGCTTCCTTTGGAATCGGAAACCAAGACATTTCAAGGGGAGAAAAAAATCACCTCCATTTTCTAAACATGTTTTTCTAAAAATATCATTGCTTTTCTCCCCTTTCCCCTTAAAAGCAATTTTTTCTAATAGCCCATTCATTTCAGCCTCAAGTAGATACACATTACATGCACCATAATATTTTTTTAAGGTTTTAGACAATGTTACTGTCAGGCTGCCTGGCTTTATATGATTCAGAGGCCAATTCAATTACAGTAGTTGCTATGATATTTGCCTTTTCCTCAACACTTTCCATGTCAGACAAAATGAAATTCTGTAAGGTGAGCAGTGTATGTTTGCATACATTGGCCAACAACGACATTTCACTTCAATGTTAAACACTCTCATATTTTCTACTCATGATTTATGTATTTACTTTGTCCAATTATAAATGCATAAGAATGATTTACACATAAGTTCAAAGCCCCCAGCTTCCTGAAAGTTTAAAGAATTCAAAGCAAATGAGAAGAAAATGAATGCATTTACAACCTGCCACTAAGTGATTCTGATACTAAAAAGTAAATACAAACATAAAGATTTAATAAACAGTTTACAAATAAAGCTGACACTGAAAGTTCTAAGAATATTAAAAATAAATCCTATTCGAAATTATATTATTATTATAATAATGTAACCCCCAACTAAGTGCAAATTAAATGTTTTTCCTATATATTCTATCATTCTTCATCCCCTTTGCCCTCCTCCCCCAAGGAAAGGAAAGGATGACATACAAGAGAGTTGGTGAGAGTAGAAAATAAAAAATTCAGTCTAAATGCCTTCAGTTGTAAAATAAATCTTTCAAGTGAATCTCTACCCTAGGTTCTCATACAATTTCCCTTATTCACAACTATTCATATTTTATAATAATCCTTATAGAAATAAAGTTAAATAAGGTATCTCACTCAAGGACAGTTTATGGTATACGCAAATTTAAAGTCTGAACAGTATAACTATAATTGTAAAACTGTCATGCTATTAAACGTCAACAGGTTGATATAACATCTGTTCTTCATTTTTTCACCCAAGTTGTTATGGTAACCAAAATATGTGGGATATGTGTTTCCTAAATTTAACTGATTATTTCAAGTAAATAAAATTATAACATATCATCTTATTAACTACAAATAATATTATTACTACAACCCTATACTTATCTTTTTTAAATGCTAGTGGATCACAGGATTATATTTAATTAGGCATTTGCACATGCTTTCTCTCTGAATTTACCTTAAAAAAATAGCAAGAGCATATTTTTGTCTATTCTGGGGGCATTTTCTTGGTTTAAAAAACAAAACAAAAAAAGGGAGCTAGTTTATTTTCTAAACATATACTATACTAAAATACTGCAAAATTATATGATTATACTAACTTGTAGGAGATGTAGATCATCTCTTTTGTAAATCAGATTCTGTTACTCCTATAGTCCTCTGCGGAAAACCTTCCACTGGTGTTGCACACGGGGTGACAAAACCTGTACCTTTCACTGTCTCTTGCTCACTCTATTTCAGCCGTATTGGTTTCCTTGCTGTTCCTCAAATAAACCAGGCTCACTCCTGCCTAAGAGCCTTGTACTTACTATTCCCTCTGCTGGGAAGGTTCTTCCCTCCAGGTAACCACATGGCTGACTCACTTATTTCAAGCCTTCGTTCAAATACCATCTTCTCAGTGAAACTTTCTCTGATCAACCCATTTTCAAACCAGCTATTCTAGCACTTCTACCATCTCTGCCCACACGTTACAGATTTGCTATGGACTGAACTGAGTCCTCCAGAGATTTCATATGTAAAAGCCATAACCCTCACTGTATTTGGAGATGGAGCCTTTGGGTAATAAGGGCCTTCATGATGGGACCGCTGCCCTCATAGGAATAAGAGACACCAGAGAGCTTACTCCCTCTACCATGTGAGGACACACAAGAAGGCAATCATCTGCAAGCCTGAAAAGGAGACTGCACCAGAAATCAGTTGGAACTTTAATATTAGACTTTAAACCTTAGGAATTATGAAAAAATTAATTCCTGTTGCGTAAGCTGGAAATTTGATCTTGGACTTCTAGCCTTTAGAACTGTGAAGAAATGAATTTCTGTTGCTTAACTCACCCAGTCTATGGTATTTTGTTAAGGCAGCCCAAGCTGACTATTACATTGTTCCTTTATATTCCTCCCTAACTCTTATTACTGATTAATAAGTATCAGTGATTTATTCTATACATTATTAATTTATTGTATTTCTTGTCTGTCTCTCTTTACTGCAGAATAAGTTTCATAAGGGCAGAGTTTTTTTGTCTATTTTGTTCACAGCACATACAATACCAACAATCTGGCACATAAATGGTAATCAATAAATATTTGTTAAATTTAGCATCAAGTATAGTTTTAAAACATCTTAAATGCTGATATGCTATAAGAAATAATACATTTCTGTGATGATACCCAAGGAATAAAATTAGATATAAAAATATATAATCTTTAGTAAGTTACATTTAAAAAGATCAAAATTACTAATATTTATGTTCTCATAGAACCAAAGAATCTTACTTTCCTGATTTTCTTGATCATTTCTTCTCCTATGAATCGGATCTACTACAAAATGTCTTCCTCCTACCAATTAAATATGGAAACCACCTAATACTGTTAACTCTATTTGGGATCTTTTTCTTTGCTTACTTCCTAAGTGAACTCATCCACTCTCACTGCTTCGGCTATCACTGTTAAGGGGGTGACTCTGAAATCCTCATCTCTGACCTCGATTTCTCTGTGCTCTGGTGCTGTATTCCCAACTACCTATGAGATACATATCACTTCAGGCATATCGTAAGAAATGTCAAAGAACAGGCGAATTAGGAATAATATAACACTGTACTCACTTAAGTAGAAAAAAAATCTTAAATAAAATCAAACAAAAAAATGTAGTTTTTAGTAGTGTATAGACTCACACAATTCTATACTGCCTGAGGATTTGCTTTCTTTCATTATAGAAATTAGACCTATTGATAGTAGGAAATTCCAATCTCTGAATTATGACTATTATTCTAATTAACAATATGCTCTTCCACTATCAGTTTCACTTCAACCATTGAATTATTCCCAATATTGTAGTAGAGTTTTATTACTTTCTAACTGAATTTAATCACTCGGGGCGGGGGGGAGAGGGCGGAATATAAGAATATAAGGTTTTCAATTTAAGTTTCTGAACTAGGATAGACTATTTTTAGAAGAAAAATAGCTCCCAATGTTTTTCTTCATCATTGGCTCCTAAATAACATATTTATTTCTTTGTTGTTTGTCTTCATACTCACTAATCAATTCATTAATTTTTTAAAGACTTCTTTAAAGCACATTTTTTACTTCTCTAAAGACTCTTAGTTATCTTCAATGATAAAATGACAACTGAGAATTTAGATGAAGCTTCAGATGAAAATTGGCTAAAATTCATTATGCAATATAAGCAAACCATATATTTTTAGAGTTTCACTGAACAAAAATAAAAACAAAGGGAATTCTAAGAGAAAGCCATGTAGCTATAGCTTTAAAGACTGGATAACCCTCCTATGGTGGTATAAGTTCCCTAGGTCTTGGGTAGCACTAAGAAGGCTCTTAGGGATCTTCAGCACAAATCAGTTACTGATGAAACACATACTGTCCCAGTCCTATGTTGCACTTTTAAGATGAATGATTACACATTTTAGCAAGTAAATTTCACTGCTGTTTTTTTCTCAAACATTTTTTCTTCAAATTAAGAGTATAAATAAAATAGTTTTAGGATAGTTCTTAAGAACCCATGTCTGGCTGTCTATGCTCATGAAAGGTTCAAAGTATGCCCAAACTATCACTAAATCCTGTCAATCATTCCTTTCTAAATATATCCAAAATCTGACCACTTCTTTCCCTCTATTCTGCCTCTATAATCTCCTAACAGGATTATTGCCAAGAGCCTCCTAAATAGTCTTCCTAATCCCACCCTAGCCCCACTACAGTCCATTCTCTACATAGGAGACCCCGTGATCACTATAAATCATTCCTCTGTTCAAAATCTTCTACTAGCTTCCCATAACTGCTGAAATAAATGCCAAGTCCTTACAACAGTTTAGAAGACCCTTCATGGTCTTGTCCCCCTACACCTCAACCATTCTTGCCTTCCTATACTCATTCAGCCCCAGCATCTTCTTGCTATTCCTTGAACACACCAAACATATTCTCAATTCAGGTCCTATGCACTTGCTGCTTCCTTCGCCTGAAAGACTCCCTATATCCACAGGACTTGCTCTCTTGCTTCTTTCCAGATTCTGTTCAGTGAGACCTTCTCTAACAAATGAACATATAAGCTAGTACGTTTTTCTGCTACTCAGCCCACTCTACTACCTTTAACCGGTTTTATTTTTCCCCAATGTGCTTACCACCGCTTTACAAACTATATGTATGTTTATTATTTGAATTACCTAATGAGAATGTTAGTTCCAAGAAAGCAGAGACTGTTTTGTTCCTTGCTCTTTCCCCAGTAATGAAATACAGAATGGTAGACTATCAATGAATATCAATATTAATCACAAAAATGAATGAATGAACCTCATGGTAGTTTCTTATCCAAAACCAGATGCAGGCTATTCCTTCAAATCGCATACTACTATAAATCATATTTGTTGTTGAATTATCATTTTGTACTTATCTTAGCATCCTGGAAATATCAAGAACCATGTTTTACTTCTCTTTGTATTCCCCGTATCAACCATTATTTCTTTCTTATAACAGGTACTCAATATTTGTTAAACTAAATTTGAAGACATACTGAAAGATATTTTTATAATACCCTGGATCTGTTGTGTTATCCTTTAGCAAACAGCCCAATACCAATTCCTAAACTGCTAAAGACTGTTCTGCTTTTATAACCAAACAGCAAATTTAATGCAAGTGAGACAGAAGAGAGTGTGTGACCTGCCTTGGAGATGTCTGATATTCATTTTGTACTGCTGTGAATACTGGAGAATATATTTTAAATGATGTTAACAAATCAAAAGATTTTTATAAGATAATGAAAACTACTTGACAGAAAGCTGCTTCAACTTGATTCATTACTGAATACTACAAAAAAAAAAAAAAATAGGGCCACACAGCACATGCTTTACTTTATCTTTATAAAGAAATAAATGACCAGAAAGCAAACTAATATCAAGAGATTTTTTTCCTAAGAAAAACTTCAGCATCACTATTGGAATTTATACCCACTTGACCCAAAATTTTTGCATAACTCGTTAATTGTTTTTTTTTTTTTAACAATAAGCTTAAATCACCGAGAAACGATTAAATTATGACCGATATATTAAAAAAATATGCCTTGAGTTTTAAATTTTCACCACATCCGTTAAAATTTTAAAATATGATACTAAAAAGGTTAAACTTTCATCATCAAGAAAAGTCAACTCACTGCAATTTGCTCCCCAAGACTTGTGGACAAAAGGATTTTACTTTTCAGCCAATTACTATGAAAACTGACAATCCATAATTGCAGTGATCAAAATAGCAACAAGCTAGAATTCTCCTTTTCTAAGCACAAGAAGTAATAGCATTCAAAATAAATGATGTGGTAAAAATAAGGTCTTGCTTTATATTGTGTTAGCTCACCTCAGGTATGAGTCTATCCAAGTGCTCCGCTCTGTTTCCATGAGAAGGATGTGTGGATAACCATTCTGGCAACTTGGGAGAACCAGAGAGGCCATCTATAAACTCCATCTGCTGCCAAAACACTGAACTTGATCTGACGTCCACACAGGCCTAAAACCAATATTAATAAAATCACAAAATGAGTTTCGTTATGAGGACACTTTTTTTACATTTATCTTTATGTCATTACATGTTTAAAAAAATATTTTCTATCATTCTAATAAGTAGAATATGTTCATTGCTTTAAAAATAAGTTTAAAGAATATGGTATTATATAACTTAAAGGAGAATATCCACCCTCTTCCTTGCCTCAACTTCTACACAATGTCTACAATAATACTACTCCTGAAGATAACCCAGTGTTTTCAGTATGGATATTAAAAACATGTATTAAAGGCAAAAATCTTCCAAATTAATATATTCTATGTTTTTATAAAAATAAGGTTTAAAAATCTAATCTGTTAATAGACTGTATTAAAGAAATTTTATTTTTAACCTATACCACTAGATTAGAAAACTTCAAATAAACATGAAGACTTGAATTTTAATATGGCCATCAAATCACCTATTTTTCCTCAATGTATGTGCTGAAGAACATATTTAAGTCATTCAAAATACCTTATAAAAGTATGTCTTTTTTAAAAAATAGGATATATAGATCTTGAGTACATGTATGTACAATTCCATCATGTATGTATATGCATATTTTATATGCATAGGACATTTCTGGAAGGCTATGTACAAAACTGTTAATAGTAGCTGTCCTAAGAATATAACGGGTGTTTCAAGGTAGAAAAAGAGCAAGACTTTTACTTTTAAACTATATTAATGTATATTATTTATATAATAAAAATTATTTCTGAATCCTGTATAAAATGATTTAAATATTATTATAAGCCTGTTCAATTTATTCACATCACTTAACTTACACTTTAAGAAATGAGACTGGAAAAAAAGTTGTTATATTTCTCAACCAGCTTACTTTCGATTAAATCTATTAAGAAAAAATTACACTATACAAATTAAATGTACTATCAAAAAGCCTTAATGTGCTATCAGACTTCAAATAGTGAGATTGTGATACACGAAAAGACAAATATAGAACATCATATGCTAGTCAACATCATTTTTAACACCATTAAAATATTTTTGAATGTTGGAAAAAGAAAAAGAAAACAATAATTTTAATTCGAAGCAAATTTTATTCAATATTTAAAGCAAACAATTTTTTTTATTGTGGTAAAATGCATATAACATGAAATTTATCTTAACCATTTTTAAGGGTACCATTCAGTGGTATTAAACATATTAACACTGTTGTACAGCCATAACCACCATCCATCTCCATAATTCTTTGCATCTTGTAAAACTCTACCTATTAGATATTAACTACCCATTCTTCCCTCCCCCCATTCCCTGGCAACCACCAATACAATTTCTGTTTTTATGGTTTTGATTACTCTAAGTACTTCATATAAGTGGAATCATACAGTACTTGTATTTTTGCGACTGGCTTATTTCACTTAGCACCATGTCCTCAAGATTCATCATATTACAGCATATTACAGAATTTTCTTACTTTTTAAGGCTGAATGATATTCCATTGTATGTATAAACCACATTTTGCTTTATCTATTCATCAGTCATTGGGTTGCTTCCACATTTCAGCTGTTGTAAATAATGCTGTTATGAACATTTCAGATGGATATACAAATATATCTTCAAGACCCTGTTTCAATTACTTTGGGTATATACCCAGTATGAGAACCACTGAATCATATGGTAATTCCATTTTTTTTTTTTGAGGAACAGCCATACTGTTTTTCATAGTGGCTATACCATTTTGCATTCCCACCAAACAATGTACAAGAGTTCCAATTTCTTCACAGCTTTGTCAACAGTTATTTGTTACTTTGATAGTAGCCACCCTAATGGGTGTGAGATGGTATGTCAATGTAGTTTTAATTTGCATTTCCCTAATTATTAGTGATGTAGAGCATCTTTTCACGTGCTTATTGGACACTCATGTATCTTGTCTATTCAATGGGTTGCTTAAATGTGTATTGTTTAATTTCCACAATTCTGTGAATTGTCCAGTTTTACTTTTGTTATTGATTTCTAATTCAACCCACTGTGGTCAGCGAAGATAATTTTGTATGATTATCTATCTTAATCTATTGAGACTTAATCTGTAGTCTAACATATTGTCTAAACTGGAAAATGTTCCAAACAATCTTGCTGTTGTTATTGAGTAGTGTTCTGTATATGTCTATTAGATCTAGTTGGTTTATTGTGTTAAGGCGTCTACTTCCTTATCTTTTATCTGGTTGTTCTATCCATTACTGTGAAAGGGGTATGGAAATCTCCAACTACTGTACAGCTATCTATTTGTCCCTTCATTTCTGTCAGTTTTTGCATTATATATTTTGATAGTCTGTAACTAGGTGCATAAAACCTTTATAACTGTTATAATTTCATATGAATATTCCATTACTATAAAATTTGCTTGTCTCACAATCTTTTTTGATTTAAAGTCTATTTGCCTGACATTAATATAGCCACCTCCACTCTCTTTTGGATATTATTTGTATGAAATATCTTCTTCCATCCTTTCACTTTTAACCTGTGTCTTTTGATCAATTGAGTCTCTTCTAAACAGTACATAATTGGGTCATGTGTTTTTATCCACTCTGCCAATCTCTGTCTTTAGATTGGAGAGTTTAATGCATTAATATTTAAAGTACTTACTAATAAAGAGGGATTTACTTCTGTCATTGTACTATTTGTTTTATATACACTCTACATCTTTTCTATCCCTCCTTTCCTTCATTACTGTCTTTTGGGTTCAGTTGATTTTGTATAGTGAAATGTTTAAACTCTTTTCTCTTTTCCTTTTATGCACATTCTATAGCTATTTTCTGTGTAATTACCATAGGGATTACATTTAACAACCTAAAGTTATAACACTCTACTATGAATTTATACCACCTTAACTTCAATAACATAAAAACTCTGTTCCTTTACAGTTCTATCTCCACCCTTTTGGGTCACGAATGTCACAAAATGACATCTTAATACACTGTATATCCCAAAACATAAACTAATAATTCTTCTAAATGTATTAGTCTCCTAAATTATGTAGAAAATAAGGTTTGGTGTTAACAAATCAAGGTTACAGTAATACTAGCTTTTATACTAATAATTTTTTCTTTAAATGTATTAGAAAACAAATCATGTAGAAAACAAACAAAAAGTAGTTATAACCCATTGCTACAATAACACTAGCTTTTATAATCGCCCTTGCATTTACCTTTATTAAGATCGCTATATCTCCAGACAGCTTTGAGTTACTGTCTAGTGTCCTTGCATTTCACCTTGCAGGAATTCCTTGAGCAGTTCTTACTAGGGCAGGTCTAGTGGTCACAAACACCTTCAACTTTTAACTGGGACTGTCTTAATTTCTCCCTCACTTTTAAAACAGCAGTCCCCAACCTTTTTGACACCAGGGACCAGTGCTCCTATGAGAATCTAGTGACTGGTGATCTGAGTGGAGCTGAGGAGGTGATGTTAGCACTGGGCTGCAAATACAGATGAAGCTTTGCTCACTCTCCTGCTGCTCTCCTCCTGCTATGTAGCCCAGTTCCTAACAGACCACTGACTGGTACTGAGTCCGTAGCCCGGGGGCTGGGGACTCTTGTTTTAAAAGACACTTTTGGTTCATATAAGATTGTCGGTTGACAGGGTTTTATTTTTTTTCCTTTTAGCATTTTGAATATATCAAGCACTGTCTTATAGTCTTCAAAGTTTCTGATGAAAAATCTGCTAAAAATCTTATTGAGAATCCTTTGAATGTGATGATTTGTTTCTCTCTTGCTCCTTTTGAGATTCACTCTTTATCATTGGTTTTGGTTTTAAGTTTGACTTGAATATATCTTAGTGTAGGTCTCACTGGTTTATCATATTTTGTGTTCACTGAGCTTCTCGGATGTTCATGTTCATGTATTTCAGCAAATTTGGGGAGTTTTCAGCCATTATTTCTTCAAATATTCCCTCTTCCCCTTTCTCTCTTCTCCTTCTGAGACCCCAACATATATGTTTGTCCACTTGATGGTCTCACACATATCCATTAGGATCTGTTAACTTTTATTCAATCTTTTTTTTTTTTAATTTTCTGTTCCTCAGCCTCAATAATTTCTACTGTCGTATTTTCAAGTTCACTGATTCTTTATTCTGCTTGTTCAAATATGCTTTTAAATCTGTCTAGTGAATCTTACATTTCTATTACTGCACCTTTCAGCTTTAGAATTTCTTGTTGGTTTCTTTTTAGGTTTTCAATCTCTATATTGATATTTCTATTTTATGCATAATCACTTTCTTGACTTTCTCCACAACTTCCTTTGGTTCTTTGAGCATATTTTAAAGTCATTGTCTAGTATATCTGCCACTAGGTCTTTTTCAGGGACAATTTCTGTTGATTTTTTTTTCTTTAATGGGCCATACTTTGCTGTTTCCTTGAATGACTTGTGATTTCTTTTGTTGAACACTGGACATCTGAATCTAATAACAATGTATTTCTGGAATTCAGATTCTATGCCTTTACTCAAGGTTTGCTGGTTTTGTTATTGTTTTTGTTGTGTGTGTGTGTGTGTGTGTGTGTGTGTGTGTGTTGCGGTGGGATTAGAGGGGGTAAGGCACCAGACCTATAAATTCCCCAGAAGTCCCTTCAGCCAGAGGGACTTGAAATAATGGGAGAAGGTGCAACAACAATGGTTTCTCACTGCTTTGTCTGCCCATCTGCAATCAAAAGCGGCATTCAGTGACCAGAGCACAGATCCATGATATTAGGAAGGCAAGGTTCTTTTTGTTCCCCCTGGCTACTGAAGCTATGTACAAGCTGTTCCAGAAACACATACACAGCTGTCTGCCATGTGACTGCAGGTGTGGAATAGGTAGCTGCTACTGTGTGAAGGGCTGAAATGGACTGAAATTAAGCAAAATTCATTGTCCAAGACTTCCCCTAAAAGTTGCAAGCCTTCAACAGACTCCAGAGCTCCAAAATAGTTAAAGCAGACAGATTCTGCCAATGTGATTGCTGTCTAGGTGGTGAGACA